GATGATGATGATGATGATGATGATGTCCCTGTGTGATGATGACAATGATGATGTCCCCGTGTGATGATGATGACGATGATGATGATGACGATGATGTCCCTGTGTGATGATGATGATGTTCCCGTGTGATGATGATGACGATGATGATGATGATGATGATGACGATGATGTCCCCGTGTGATGATGGTGATGATGTCCCCGTGTGATGATGATGACAATGATGACGTCCCTGTATGATGATGATGATGATGATGACGTCCCTGTATGATGATGATGATGATGATGTCCCCGTGTGACGATGATGATGATGACGATGATGATGATGACGATGATGTCCCTGTTGGTCCCCTCTGGCTGTCCCCAGAGGGTGGCAGGGCTGTCCCCAGGCCGTGGGGCTGTACTGAGGTGCTGCCCGTGCAATATTTCCCAGCCCACAGGGGTGCACAGGGCTCTGGTGCCGTTGGGCTCTCTCGGGGCCTTGTTCCATTTCCGGACCTCATTCAGCACTAAATGACTTTGCTGAGGCTCAGTCAGTCTGTTGCACATTGGTGGAGATGAAGTGGCACCCACTGAATTACCTCTCGACTTTCCAACGTGGTTCACTTGTACATAGGTGTAATGTCAAACTGTTTACAGGTTCTTTTGTGCGTAATCGTGGAGAAAAAAAAAAAAAAAGTTTTAACTACAAATTTAAAGGAATCGATTTTACTGGAAGGTGTTTAAAAAAATGAATGTGCTTAATACAGTATAGACATCCTTGCTAATGGTCTCACCTGAATGCATGCATCCGTGTTGTCAGTCCCACCAGTGAGGTTATTGGCAATTTTCTGCAGTCTGTGAATACAAATATGCATCAACTACTGTGATCTGACAAATATAACTCAGTAACTGTTTCTACTGTGGTGTGTGAAAAAACCCTGTAGCTTTTAGCCTGCTGTATTTCCCTGGTGCAAGGAGCACCAGGAAGGAGAGAGAGCTGGGAGGATGAAGCCAGAGCTGTGCCCTGAGCAGGGTGGTTCATGCACAGCCCCCGTGGGGTGGCTGTGCTGCGAGTGCTAAAAATGCGTTTGCAGAGCTGGCAGTGGAAGGGAAGGCGCTGCTGCTGCTGCCCAGAGCTGCTGGCACCTCTGGCATCGCTGCTGGAGCAGGGCTGGCCCCGGGCTGGGGACCTGCACGGGGGGAACTCAGCCCTGCTCTGGCCACAGAGTGCCATGCACAGAGCCATGCACAGCTGCATGGGCATCCTGCACTGGTGGGGACAGACCCAGCTGGGCGACAGGCAGGGGCTGTGCATCCTGCATTGGTGTATTGCATCCTGCACTGGGTGTATTGCATCCTGCATTGATGTATTGCATCCTGCATTGGGTGTATTGCATCCTGTACTGGGTGCATTGCATCCTGCACTGGGTGTATTGCA